TCTTTCTCTTTCTCTTTCTCTTTCTCTTTCTCTTTCTCTCTTTCTCTTTCTCTTTCTCTTTCTCTCTCTCTCTCTCTTTCTCTTTCTCTTTCTCTTTCTCTTTCTCTTTCTCTTTCTCTTTCTCTTTCTCTTTCTCTTTCTCTTTCTTTGTTTTTTTATGACTAGTCTTTATCTTGAAGTGAGATCTATCTCAGAGATTAACTTTTTGAACTCTTGCTACAGACACAACATTTCAGCTCCCACCAGTCTTAATACTTCCCTGCCCATGTCAGGGGGAATTGGAATTAAATTATATTTATGGACTCTTCCAACCCAAACCGTCCTATGATTCTAAGATTATGGGGGGAAAAAAGCAATTTAATTCCTAATAGGAATACGTGGTTTCTCCCTAAGGAGTAAAGAACGAAATCCAGGACATGACTAGCAGGCAGAATTTTCATGCTTTGGGAACTGCCTCTTCGGTCTTATGCCAGTACCTGTGTAGTGCTGGTGATTAAAGCATTGGTGTTCACTAATCACTTTCATTCTGTCTTACAAGTACACATAATTCTGCACCAATTTCATTTAAATATCACTTTATATTCATGGCTTTGACTTTTAGAACTCCTCCTACTGTACTTGTAGTTTTAATATTAACAGACATTTCTTTCTCTCCATTCATCACTCATGTCAAGACTTCCCAGGCTGAGGTGAACATTTGCTGCTTCTTTATATGGCAAGAGCCATAGATGCCCCAGCCCTTCACTTCAATGTGAAAAGTTCTTAAAGATCATCTCTCAGCAACATTCTCTAAGAAAGTATGTTTTGATTTGAAAGGCAACTGGACAGTCTCCAGTGGTCCCCACCAACCTCAAATATTCCACGATTCTCTGATTCACACTTCTGCTTCTCTACTGTTTCCTTATAATTTTCTGTGTACTGAACAGTCCCAGCTTTGCTTCCCTTCCATTTGAGATGTCCCAGCAATCATCTCCAAGCAACCTTCCCTCTTGATGACAGGGTGGACAATGCCACCACCCTGTCACATGCCTGTAACCTTGGTATCATCTTCAACTCATACTCCTCTCCCAGATGCCACTTCCCAGTAACATTGAAGCTACACACACATTAAAAATATGTTCTGTGTATCATACTTCTGATAATGCCTTTCTTTGCTCTCTACTCATCTAGGTAAATCTCTTATCTCAGACTTTACCTTTGAACATGCCAATCACTGCAGAATCCCTTTCAGTCACTTACATCACAGATGTAAATTTCCCCTGCTGATATTCCCTGGATACAAAGGCCATTTTTCCAGATATAGCATTGATTTCCCTTCCCCATTTCTATCAACACCAGGCTGCCTGCATCCAATCAACTCATGCAGGAATATTCCATAGTCTATGCACTGGATTTTTCAAATGAGTGCTCATGTATTTTCTTTCATGTTGCTCTCCATAAACACATATAAAATTACCTTGCTAGTGCCTTTCTTTCTCTGTAGCAACATCTAAAATTCTCTGACAAGGACTAGGTTGCAGGTGTGCTATTAGCATTGCCTGTCATATTGACCAGCACTTTCTTATTACATTCATGGGTCTCCTCTATCTGTCTGTCAGTATCCACAGCTTCTTGATTTCTACTATGATGTAAGTCATTTCATACAGAGAATGTCTATGTTTCTAGAGTGCCTGGCACAGCAGAAATGAATCCATGACTGTGACTGCGATGCAAATTATTCTTGTCAACTAATAAAAACAGACACGGGTCAAATAATAGACACGTTCTAGAGAAATTAGAGAAATTCCTCATGACTCCAATTGAAGAAATCTGCCCAAGAAACATTACAACTATCATAATTTTATTTTAAACAACAAAACATGATTGAAACATACCAGGTACTGGCCATAGTACTCACTTTTTGTAGTTGCCTTCTTAGAAATATCTAGGAACAATCCATCAAATGCTTCTTGTAGGATACTGTTTTTACCTAGGCATGTGTTATTCTCAGTCTACCTGAAAAATACACAGACATAAAAAAAAGAATCAGTGTTTTGTTCAGTAATTTTTAACTTATTTGCTATAGAAAAATAAATTAAAAACTGCTTACTGTTATATGGGATATCTAAAACAGTCATCTATACATATGTGGTTCCTGCTGTAATATCACATCAGCATTACTAGGGTATGCTTAGTCATCTCATAGAAAGAAATGGATTTGTTAAACACAAACTAAGTTTTCTGTACAGCACTCAGAATTAAATGCCTGTCCTTGACCAAGTGTGCAAACACCCATCCCTTTGCCAAAAGAGTAATTCATCAATTCCTCTATTACAAGTTCAAGGGTTTCCAGTTAACACAGCAGCTGCTCCTTTCCTCTTCTGTATTTTTGCAGGCTTCAGAAGATAAAAATAAAAATAATAATGAAAACTTATTTATGTGGTTATCCCAAATATCTCCTTTCTTAAGTCTTCTTCCTTTGTTAGAGAGAAATGACTGAGATCTTCCAGAGATGCCTCTTGCTGTTTCTACTCACATCAGTAAATTATATCCTATCTGAGTTGTGCGTGGCATTGAAGAGCCCCAATTTAATGATGCATGTGACAGAAAGCTATCATACTGCAAGCAGGAGGTTCAAAGAAAGTGTGTAACAACACTGGGGCTCCTCTTCTGCCTCTCATTAACTCATTAGTCTCAAGTCCCCTTTCTTAGCTCCTTCCCTTGTCTCAGGGAGGCAAAGTCCCATATGGGTGGGAAGGTGAAGAACACAAGAAGGTGTGTATAGTTTCACTGAAAGCCACATTTGCCAGATCCATCAGCTCTCCCAGGCTGCCCACTTTGTTAGATATGAATCTATTTTACATTCATTCTGGTGCACAAGGTCTTGCAGAATTGGAAAAAAAAAATAAAATTGTAAGGCTGAGTTATGGGGCAGCATACTGTTAGAGAAGTGGGATTCCATGTCTTTCCTTGGCAACTTTTTTCTGCATATATGGTCTAAAACTACACTGACCTTTTAATCTTGCCAATTGCAAATTAATTTTCAATCCAACCTGTCTAGTGAAAAGGTGCAAAGGTCGCCTCTAAATAGCTGCTCTGCTACATTGCCCTTTACTCCATGGTCCACATCCTTTGTCTTTCTCCCATTAATTCTGCTTCTTCAAGAACACTCCCTGCTGCTGATTGTGTCCTCGTACAGATTATTTCTCCTCCATATGCATTTTGCAAAGCTGCATCTCATTTTGTCATTTCCTGCCTAAGGTTTCTAGTCTCTCTATTTTTGCTGATTTATGCAGTGCCTCCCAATTTGGATCATTTGTGATTTTAATTAACACGTACTCTTTTCCTGTCTTCTGGCTAATGAATGAAGATATTTAAAGAAGACTGGACTCAGGAATGCTCCCTGATGTTCCCCCACTAGAAAACTCATGTGATTCAACACATTTTCATTTATTATCTCACTTTGCTAATGGCCCTGTGGATGGTTTTTAATCAACATCACAGGGTCCTTATCTAAGCCAATCTGAATTAATTTTGTGAGTATCCTCTCTTGCTGATGCTCATTTCAAATAGACAGAAAACAAAAGCAGAAGAGGCCATCACTCACCAGAATGCTTTTCTGTGAGACCTGGAAATGAGGAAGTAGTGAGAATAAATTGTTCACTTTCTTCTTCCAGGACTCTGGTAGACTTAGGATCCCCTGTCACCATAATACCTATATTCCTCCTGTTTTTCAATATATGTATTTTAAAACTGTTTGTCAAGGCAGGGAAGTGTTATTATTCCACTTTGGAGAATAAGCTCCAGTACAGAAAATATAAGAAGGTCTACTCTGCTCCTTTAGCAGTCACAGTTAGAAACTGAGGGTTAAAGGTTGCTTTTGGATTTACACCTGTCTTCTGGAAATTACTGGGACATGCCTACCTGTATATCTCTGGGATGACCCACCAAATGCACCATCAAAGTGATTTCATCTCTTAAACAAAAAAAAACCCAAACAACGAACCAACCAACCAACCAAACCCAACCCAACCAAAACAACCCAAACCCCTAAATGTCAGTACATCCATATTTATATCATGACCTGAATGCCATCTTGAAAGAATGGGCCCAAATAATGTAAAGTGATTTATAAAAGATGAGACTCAGGTACTCAGAACACATAACTGCCTAATCCAAACCACAGGATACAGAATAAGTTTTACAGCAGTATCTGTTGGATCTGGTCCTTAAAGTTATTTGGGCATCTCCTTCTCACTCAGCTAGGTTTTAAGATATTTCTGAAGTCCTGGACCAAAGTGTTTTCCTTGATGTTATCCAGGATATTTATAGTGGATTTGAATCCAGATCTAAAAAGTCTAAAATGTGGTTCCCACATAAGAACTTCTCTCCTTTCCTATCAAGAGGATAATTATGTCATATGATGGACATTTCAGCTCCAGTCATGGCTTTATGTTCCCCAAAAAGTAGGGACCCACTGACAACGTGCACAGCATCCTCCACAGTCACCTCCTGATAAACGGTTTTAATATGGTAGTTACATTCCTCTTGGATGAAAACTTAAAACACCTCTCTGCTACAGCAAAAAGGTATTTATAGCATAGACTTATTTATGTGGGTAATTTATTTCTGAAATATTAATTGATGTTTCTGAATGAGCTCTGAATTATTATCAAAAACTTTATGTGGTTTTTAACAAAAGCCAGCAGGATTTTTAAAAACATTGCTAATATCCTCTCTTCCCTCTCACCCTCTTCATTAATCAAAACCCATGGGATAAAAACAAACAAACAAACAAAACCCTACCAAGCCCATTTAAAAAAAATAAATAAAGGAAAGGAAGAAAAAGAATGAAAAAGGAAAGGGACCAATATTTCGAGAAGCATCAGCAATCATAAAGAAACTAATCACAAGCTAAGAAATTATCTAAGGGAGCACAGAGGGAGGTAACAATATGAAGAAGACAATTTAGAAAATATTTGCAGGAGCAAAATCTATAAATACTCATTATATCTTTTAAACACATGTCCAAATTAATATGTGTTCTTGCTTCTTCCTTTCCCATTAATATATTTAGTGCAAAAAGATAAGTAGGATAAAATATTGTCACCAATATTCTCTTCATATTAGGAAATAATTACACAGTTTTTTCACTCCAAACTTTTAAACATGGCCCAGCTGGAAATGAATCGCTTTGACTTGCTAAAAATAAGCATAAGAAACTTAATCTAAGTCCATCACCAGTGCAATTTATACTCTACACCACTTCTGTAAAGTGTAATTAACAGTGCATTGCTGTAATTTATTATTGGTTTAAAAAGCCTGAAAATCAGATCCTTACAGCAAAATGGGAAAATGAGAAGCTATATGCCAGGCATATTATTCTGGCTTATATTAATTCAGTTATTTTACCTTTGGTGCACATCCATCTATCCATACAATGTGAATGCTCCATTGAGAATGATGCTGGGTACTGAACCTTTGGCTCAATATGAAATATGAACTCTGAAGCATAGCTGCAATAATACTTCCATTTGCATTATTATGATTAACATTCCTCTGAATAGGAAGCATCCAGTAATATTAATTGCAGAAATAGTGAGATTCCAATTGTCATAAATCATTGTGCAGTGTAAAGAAAGCTTTCAGAAAACAGCACAGAAAAACTCTCTTCGTTTTTTTTTTTCTGAGTTCACTTCAACCTCATTTTCACCAGGCTTTTTCATTTGTGTCCATTGACAAAACAGTAGTTATGCTTTTCCCTTGATTAACACATCCTTTTCAGTAAGGCCCCAAACAGTTTTCACATGAAAGGTTGAATCCAACAGAGCATGTTTTTTCTCATTAAAGACTTAGCATTCACCCACAGTTAATTTATCACACAGATACTTCCTGTCTCACAGGAAGGAGACTGGCCTTGAAGCCAATGTTCTTGGTCTGATCAGAAGTTTTCTCCACAACAGTTGAAATTAATGCCTTTTCAAAGATGGTGATTGCTGAATTCATTTAATAAGTGAAAAATACAGAAGGAGAAAAGATACAGTTTCTCTATTAAACCACAAGGAGACATATTACCTTATTTGAAGCAATATCATCACTAATCTGTACGATCTCACAGAAATTTTATTTATATATCTATATATTTGTATCAAGTCAACATTTCCCCTTCACTGCCATTTCTTTCCTCCACAGTTAGCAAAACTGTCAATATTCATTGATTCATCAAAGCAAGCAACCCTGACATTTGGTGCATCAGCCTTCATTTGTAACAGGCATACGATGCAATGATTTATTTTGATGTGTTACATTGTACCCTAAAGAGCATCCAAAAATAAAAATGCTTTCATTAGAAGTGTTGCAAAAACAAGGCATCTGCATCAGGGACCACACACAAGGAAAGAAAAATTTCTTGCCACCTGTGCTCTTTAGTCCAGACTTTTGATGGTTGGACTGTTTTGGAGTTTGCTTGCTTGGAGGATTTCCAGATATGTTATTTCCAAATGTATCATATATTCAAAAAGCAACTGATGGGTCTAAGCATTGTTAAGAACTGGAAAGAGCAGATCTTTTCCAAGCTGTGTCCTGGTTTGATTAACTCACAGTAGGTGAGATGCCCCTGAATTACTGTGGTATCCACTGAGTTCCTAATGACAGTGTCCACCTTGCAAAAAAACGCCTTTCCTGAGATGCAATTAGTGCCTACCTCAAAGACACGAGAAATGGTTGTAGATGATGGCTGGGCTGCCTGGCTACCAGCGGGAGGGTGAGGAAAGATCAGGACATTTCCTTACCAAGGATATTCATATTAACTGGCATTTCTGGCCAAGAATACTTTAGTCCCTATCTTTGGTTGTGACTGGACGACCCACAAAGCAGTCACATATTTTCATGTAGGAAACATGTTCCAACTGCAAATAATTCTTTCAGACATTTTCAGACATGTACCACGAAGCACAAGTTTAAGTCTCACTGGAGACAGCAGAGCTTCAACATGTGCTTGAAGTCAAGTGTTCTCT